AAAAAAAAAAAAAAAAAAAAGAAAGGAAAAAAAAGAAAACAAAGCCAAGTCTGACTGTGCCCCTAACACCAGTCCATGCAGTTTAAACACTCATTGTCTCCCTGGACAAGATTCGGCAAGTCTGGTCATCAAATCCATTTTTCCTTTATTTTCTGATAGCCAGGTGTGGGTAAAAGGATGAAAAAAGCATTTCAAAGAGAAATTTCCAATTTAACCTGAGTCCTACAATTTCTTAGACATAGATACTCAGGAACTGGACTTCCAAGATGTCATGGTAGGCATAATGGGCATTATAGCTGAATAAGCAGTTTTCTGTTCCCCCAATCAATGACGTATAGACGGTCAGGCTCGGGCTTTCAAGGAGGCATACTCACTGTGCCAGTCCTATCTTGGTTTAAGGCCCTTATTTTCCGGATCCTGATTTCAAGCTTATTGCTGTAACTTTATTTTCTTGACCTACTTTTACCTTCACAGGGATGTCCTCTTCCTGGTTTGCTTTCTCTGACGTGAAGACATACGAGATTTCTTTGTGAGACGTTGTCTGGCGACAGATGGCACACTTGATGGAGCTTCTGTGAGACCCCACGCTGTATTGCTCAATAATAATAGAAGTGCATTCATTGCAGAAACAGTGTCCACAGGTCAGTACGGCCCACTGAAAAACAAAGTGAGAGGCCTCAGGGAGGAGCTCTCATAGACACCTTCCAATCCACACATCTACGGACAAGGCAGAAGAGACACAACTTCAGGTCCCAAATATTTCATGACATTCGTAGCCTTTAAATAATAAAAGCCGAATTGGACTTTCTTTTTTTAGAGTCCAAGAAAGTAAGATTTTATGAGTAAGATTTCATAGATGGCTTTTGTTACATTCACTCTATCAATAGGCAGAACAGTCTATCACTATTATCCTATTAGATGTTGTTGCTACAATATTTGAGAAAAATGCAAAGTATTTCTTCAGTGTTCAAACAGCAGATATCTTATAGGGGCTGTCAATAAGACCAATTTAGTGGTAGTATCATGTAGCTAAGTAATCAATATTTTCTATTGCATTTATTAAACTGACTTATACTTTCACATGCTGAAGCAAATGAGATGAGTTCACATCTTATCAGGTATATTTAAAAAAGTGGTTCCTCATTAAAAGGAAAACCCAAAATGATCATGTTGAAAAGCTTGGAGTCCTATTTCAGATAAAGTAAAATACTCTTTTTCCATCTCTGAAGCATCTGGAATGGCCGGGGAAGAAGAAAGGGAAGGTGATGGAGTGGAGGGAACATGGAGGCAGAGAGAGGCAGGAGCACACACCTAGCATTAGGGAGACAAGAAAACAATTGTTCACTTGGCAAAATAATAAAAAAAGGTGAGTGTGAAGAGTTAGAAGAGTTTTCAATACTAAACTGTAATTTTTCCCTCCTAAGATTTGCCTTTCCAAGGACTTGTATGGAAAATAGTCCCTTGGAAAAAAACTCACACTAAGGGTAAAAACATCTGAAGTATTATTATAATTTCACCTGTCTTCCCAGCTGCCGTGCACAGATTGGACAAGGTTCTGGATTAATTCCTCCTGATGTTTTGTCTTGAGACTATGCAAAAAAGAAAGAATTAACAAATCTATCAGTTACATGTTAATATTTTAACATTCCTAACTCATTTCAAGAAGTAAATCTCAATTTAAACAGCCTAATAATGTGGATATAACCTAACGATCTCTGTACTCCTCATGACTGTTAGTCTTGCTACTTAAAAAAAATTATTCAAGGAGGTAACAAAATATGCATACCAAGTTTACTGCATTTTTAAAAATTACCATATCTTTGTATTTGTAGTTTTAAAAGCCAAATATTAAAATGCAACATAGCTAAATAATAAAAATTTTATTTTGGGGATTTTACTATGAAGAATCAGATATTATTTTAAAAAATAATTTAAAATTATGAAAAAAATTTTTTTTATACCGTGGAGAAAATCTTGGCTTGTTATGCATGTTCACTTGGTTCACAAGCTGCATGGGAACACAGACTTGGGAAGGGGCAGCGTTTATTTACATAATATAACTTCTTATTAATATGACTTTTTCCTCAATACCCTTTTCTAATCTTATTAAGGATCATCACATTATATGATAAACCTACATTAATTCATATAATCCTCAAAATAGCCCTACTGTTATTATTCTAATTTAACAGATGGGGCAAAGACAGTTAAATAAGCTGAACAAAGTCACCTACTAGAAAATAATAAAGTCATGAGTTACACTTGGGCTGTATGGTCTATCTTTTTTAACAACCATTTTATTTTTCCTATAACCAATGTATAACTTTTCATTTTGTGATCAGTGGAATTTAATACTTTACTTAGACATTATCTACTGCTTTCCTTTCACTTATCCTATCAAATACCCACTATCATCACATATTGCTTTGATGAAGTGTTTAGCCAATGGCAAACTATTAATTCTTTCAATAACAAAGAATTACACATTTACAATCCAACAATTCATCAGTGCCAAATACAGGATTTTGTTCACAGTAGGAACCCAGAGAATGTGCTATGATTTCCACTGGATAACTGAAGTTCCTTCTCTTCTGATTTATAGCTTACTAAATATATTTTACTGTTTTAATGTTGTTTGTTGTTGTTGTTAAGTGCCATCAAGTTGTAGATGACTCACAGTGATCCTATAAATGAAAGACCCGAACAACTGTGTAACTTTCATTATTTCTCCAAGTTCATAGAGCTTCCAGAGGCAAGTTATTTCAGAAGTGGATGCCACTCCTGCTTCCAAGCCTGTTTTAATCGGGGTGCTCCAACAAACACTGTCTAACATGGGTAACCATCTCAAATTTGATGCATTAGTGTCATAATGTTCAGCATCACAGCAACCATGAGTTACCTCTGTATAGCTAATGGACAGGTCAGTGCTATACCACAGAAGAATGTTTGACCAAAAAATTAATACTAGGCTTGAGGACCACAGATTAAAATCACCCATCTTTGGCTTAATAGCATAACTTTCTACCTATGAGGACCACAGAGCTCTCTCTCTGTTGGTGGTGGTGGTGTTAAGTGCCATAGAGTCATAGACTACTCATAGAGACCCTATGAATGAAAGACCTGAACACTTGTATAACTTTCATCTTTTCTCCATGTTCATAGGATTTCTGGAAGCAAGCTATTTCGGAAGTTGATGCCATTCTTGCTTCCAAGCTTGTTTTACTTGGGGAGCTCCACTAAACACCTTTTAATATTAAAGTGAAAAATAACTATATATGAATGAATGTAGCCAGGAAATAAAAAAACATATTGCGATGGGAAAGTCTGCAGTTAGGGACCTCTCCAAAATACTCAAGAGCAGCGGTGTCTCTCTGGAGACTAAGGTGTGCCTGATACAGGCCATGGTTTTTGCAATCAGTTGTTATGCATCAGACAGTTGGACAATGACTAGGGAGGATAGAAGGAGAATTGACGCCTTTGAGCTGTGGTGCTGGAGTATTGAATGTACCATGGACTGCCAAGAAAACAAATAGATTCATCCAAGAGAGGGTTAAACCAGGCTGCTCCTTGGAGGCAAGGATTCTAGGGCTTCGTCTGACATACTTTGGACATGTTGTAAGGAGAGACAGGTCTTTAGAGAGGGACATCATGCTGGGTAGAGTAGAGGGACAGTGCAAGAGGGGGAAGCCCTCTATGAGGTGGATTGATTCAGTGACTGGGGTACTCAGGATGGGTGTGTCAGAGGCAATGAGATTGGCACAGGATAGAGTACAGTTTAGGGCTGTTGTACATAGGGTCGCTATGAGTCGCAAACGACTCGACGGCACATAACAACAACAACAACAACAACATGAATGAATGTACGAAAATAATACACATAATTTCACCCAGAGGTATGTTGCAAAACTATATTCAAAGCTCTGTATTATAGGTTATTTTTACTGTTCCTTACTATATAATGCACTATCACTTATGTAATTAATTTTTAATAGATAAAATTTATCATGATTTGTATAGCTAATGTAGATGTAATTAGTATTCCAACTCATAACTAGTGCAAACAAACAAAAAAGATTAATTTAAAAAGTACCCTTAATTAAGCAGCTAATGGTATAAATGGAAGGAGTCCCTGACGTGGTATATGAAAATACAATAGGAAAAAGTCACATCATGTAATCCCAATACCTTCTCCAAGTTAGTTAAGTAAAGTAGCTGCCCAAGTTTTTTCTGAAGCTGTGATGAAGCAACGGCTTTATCATTTAGTAGTTTTATTCGGTTTTGTTCCACCTAAAAAACAAACATAAAAATCCTTATTCTTTCTCAGAAAATGTTATGTGAATCAAATATATATATATCATTTTCATTCAATAATGCAAATGTATCTTAAGAAAAGCTATTCGTGTGAATATTCAAATAAGCAAAAGGAATACTATATAATCAAAAGGACTTTCTGCCTCATCTAAGACAAAAATCAATGTTGAGTTCATTTAAATAGGAAAGAATGAATTCAAATTCTATTTGTGATCCATTTTTCTATAATATATCCACGAGCTGGGAAAAAAGAAACGATTTGCTGAACTGGCCAGAGTGACTTTATCAAATTAGGGGACAATCACCTCTCCCACTTGCCACTGTATTAGACAGAAAAAGATTAAGTCAGTCACAAAAGGACAAGGACTGTATAAATTCACTATGTAGTTTCTAGAAAAAACTAGCATGAGATTGACACACTGAGAGAATGAAATAGTGTGGTTACTAGGGAGAAAAAAGAGGGGAATAGAAAATTCACTGACAAATAACAAACATTTATTAGGATGAGTGATGGGAAGGACAATGTGGAATGAACGGACAATCTGACAGTCAAGTGTACTGTAATTAATGTAACAGAACAAAACACGCATGAATGACTAACTGGGAAAAAATAAGCTCTGCAAACATTCACTCAAATCAAAACAAAAAAATGTTAAAAAATAAAAATAAAAAACCCAAAGAAGAGGAATTTGTTTCCAGGTAAAACTTACAAAGCCTTCATATTTTAAGTCAGCTGGTATACATATATATCAGCTGTGAAAACGAGGCCAGGTGCTGACCGTGGAACAAACCATCAACTACCCATATACAAGTTCCAACTAAAGCTAAGGAAGCTTAAATCCACAGGAACCAAAAGTTGACCTTGAGTCTATCTCACCTGAATTTCAAAACCATCTCAGGAACAGGTTTGAGGCCTTGAACACTAATGAACGAAGACCAGAAGAAATGTGGGAGGATATCAAGGGTATCATCTAGGAAGAGAGCAAAAGATCATTACAAAGACAGAGGAGAAGAAAATACCAAAATGGATGTCAGAAGGGATTTTGAATATTGCTCTAGAGCGCCAAGAGGTAAAAGTAAAGGGAAGAAATCAAGAAGTTAAGGAGCTGAACAGATTTCAAAGGGCAGCATGGGAAGATAAAGCAAAGTAGTATAAGGAAATGTACAAAGAGATGGAGTCAGAAAATTAAAAGGGTTGAATTTGCTCAGCATTTCTTAAACTGAAGAATAAATAATTTCCAATCTATACGAGGAACAGATCATTCAAAAGGTTGGACTTTATGAGAAAGAAAGTGGCATTAGGCTTGGAGGAAGACTCATCAATAACCTGTACTACACAGATGACAAAACCTTCTTTACTGAAACTGAAGAAGACCTGAAGATTTGCTGCAGAAGGTCAAGGACTCTAGTCTTCAATACAGATTATAGCTTAACATCAAGAAGACAAAGATTCTCACCACTGGACCAACTGGTAGTACCATGAAAGATGGAAAACAGACTGAGGTTGTTAGCAATTTAGAGCTTGCTCAGCTCCACAATCAACACCAGTTGCACCAGCAGTCAGGAGATCAAAAGACAAATTGCACTGGGGAAGTCTATTGTCACAGACCTCCCCAGAGTGCTGAGGGAAAATTACATCAGTCTAGAGACTAGGGTGCACCTGATGCAAGCCATGATCTTTGCAATTATATGCTATGCATCAGAGAGCTAGAAAACAGCTGAGGACAACAGCAGAAGAAATTGATGCCTTTGAGCTGTCATATTGGAGAAGAGTACTGAACATATCATGCACCACCAAGAGACAAATAGATCTGTCTTGGAGAGGCTGAAACCAAGTTTCTCCTTGGAGGCTAGGATTTTGTAATTCTGTCTCACATACTCTGGGCACACGGCCAGGAGGGACCAGTCCCTGGAGAAGGACATCATGTTTGGAAAGGTGGAAGGACAGGTCAAGAGAGGAAGACACCGGATTGACCTGATAACTAGGGCAATGGGATTAAGTGTGATGGAGTCAGTGAGACAGGGCAACCTTCAGAGCTATTGTACATACGACTGCTTTGAACTTAAGTTGCTATGAATCATTAAGCTGCTAAGCACATAGCAGCAGGACGTATGGATGATCTCTAAGTGGTTACAGGTGAGAGTCTACAAAATTTCAGTCTTTTAGAAAGTATAAGATTGAAAAGATGATGTATAAACACATAAACACTAAACATACAAAAGCAGAAGAAATAATATTTCTAATATGGAACAGGAAGATTAGTGGAGTTACTGCTTTTTGGTAAAACACAAAATGGGATTTATTAGCACATAAGTGGTTCATGGTATTTTGTTAGCAAAGGAAACACACAAAAAAGAATTCGGGAAGCTCTCAAGCAAATTTTTCTGGTTCTGATGAAGCTGAGGTAATAATAGTATATATGGAGAAAATGGACCGGCAGGCTTAGGCACCGTATTTTTAGAAGAGACCGATGCTCTGCCTCTGCTACCTCTGCTATGGGTCCTGGATTTTTGTTCTATCTGCTGGGCCCTTTTCCCGTATTTACTTGCAAACTACCTCGTGTGGTTCAATGATATGAAGAACAGGAGGACTGGGCTTTGGCTCGTTAGGATGGCGCACTCTCAGTCGTTCGGTAGCCATTGCAAGCTCATCAACAGCTGATACACGATTCCGCAGAGCCATCCAATATCCATGAAGGAACTAGAAAAACAGAACAAAGACAGTGGACATTAAGAAAGGGTTAAAACCATGAAGGTGTATAATAAAAAAGGCTTCAGTGAGGTCCCAAAGTACACCCACATCATCACTGAGTCTGAAGGTACAGGTAATTCTTTGGTCAATTTTGAGATAAGGGAAATCTTTGTAACAGGACATTGCTAAGCACTGCCTCTTCACACTCTTAGTAACAATACCCAGAGACTTCTTGGTTGGATCAAAGGTCATACTTTTTTTTTCTATAATTATATTTTATTAATTTTCATAAACATTTACAGAGATTTTGGGCTTCCACTCATTCATTGTTGCACT